GGGGTGAGGGATGGAGGAGTGGGTAGAGATGAGGGATGGAGGAGGTGGGGGGGTGGAGGGATGAGGTAGGACAGTGGCTGACGGGTCTCTATGCAGTGGATTGCCGGGTGGAGGAGTTTGTCCAGGGCTGCCCCCCCCAAGGAACGGGGGGACACTGACACCCTTGTTAGCCCCCCCAGGCTTGCAGCCCACGCTGCTCCCCCCCAGGCCGGACCAGGCCCCGTCCCATCCCGTCCCCACGCTTGGCTCCAGGGTGTGCTGGGCACTGAACTGGGTTTAGTTGGCTGTGAAATGAGCCGCGCTCAGGCCCCGCTGTTCGGCCCCCTCCAGCCCCCCAGGTCTAATCCCCAGCCCCGCGCGTTTCCCCGGGTTAGTCATGCGCGCGGGATGGATTAGCCCCGCTCAATCCCTTCACTGCCTTTAATGGCCCTTTCTTCTCACGCGCCGCAGAGGGCGTTTATCCCCTCAGTTCAGGGGAGACAAAGCCCAGGGGCCGAGCCTGCTGCAGCTGTGGGGAGCCCCCCACTCCCCCCAAGTGACCCTCATTTCCTCCCCTACAGGGACTCTGCTCCCCAGGTCCTTCAGAGACCTCCCACCCGAGGGGGCCCCCTCTCTCCCACCTCATGGACCCCCAGCCCCCTCCCGCCACTGCCCCACCGGTGCCCCCACTTCCCCACCTACTGCTGCTCCCCCCAGAGCACAGGGGCCTTACCTGAGGTCCCCTTGCCGGGATCGGGGCCCCAGCACATGACAGCCCCTCCCCCGTCTCCCCCAAGCACCCAGTCTAGGAGGCTCTGGTCTGAACCCCCCCAGACTTCACTGCCATTTGTCAGGCTGGGAAGCAGCAGCCCCTCACCCCCCTCCGTTTGTGCTGTGGCTCGTTACGGGCCTGGGGGGAGATGGTTTAATGGTGGGGGCAGATTCCTTCTACCCGTTTGCTGCATCTCCGCTAGGGGGCAGAGACGCTGGAGTGCAGACCCCCAGCATACGGTCGGGGGGCCTTTACCACACTAGGGACACAGCCGGGGATCAGGCCCCAGGACGGGGCCTTTCGCTGGTTTAAGCACACGGGGCTTTGAGGGTTACGGGAATAACTTCCGGTGTAGCCTGACCCAGGTACTGTGGAAGAACCAGGACTTGAGTTCAGGTCTCCCACATGCCAGGTCTTACTCACTGGACTGTCCTGCTGCCCTCCCTCAGTACCCCCCACCCCCTCTAAAAAATATCCCCCCGGACTCCATGCTAGTCTCTGCTCCTTTTCCGCAGTGGCTGGACTGGCGGCGGGAGAACCCGGCTGGGCGGTGTGGCCTGAGGAGACACTGCAGGGGCAGGGAAGGGATACTCCATGGCTGGGGTAATTGTTGCCAAGAAGCCGGAGGCAGCGGAAGGGAAGAGGGGGCCTGTGGGACATGGGGTGTGTGTGTGAGATTTAATGTTTTAAAAACTAAGGAAATTAAATGCTCAAATCCTTGTCAATGCAGAGTTAAGGCTGCCAAAGGCCGTCACCTGGGCAGCTTTCCAGAACGTGGAATGTGGCTAAATGCGAACCTCTGAGACCCAGGAAATGCAGCATTAAGGGCCATGCTCCTCCTGCAACACCACCCTAACTCTGCCCTCGGCGTGCTGCCCCAGCATGCCAATAATGCTCCAACTAGCCTGTTCCAGAGCTCTTCGGGGACAGAGCCCGTGAGCAATGTAGGGGCCGAACACCATCTCTTTGCTAAGGCAATGGCGGGGTTGGTCAGTGTCACTGCCCCCTGCCTCTATTCCACCCTGGCCCCATGCCGGGGATATGGGTTTCTGGCTCCTTCATGGAGCTGTGAGCACGGGCGTGTACCTGGCGTGGTTCACCCCTCGTGGTTCACACCGGCCCCTTCTGCGGCGTGAGGGAGAACCTGGCACCCGCCAGGCTGAAGCCCCTATTCCGGCTCCTCCTTTTCCCCACACCTGTTTATATTCACACACCCTGTCCATGGCCCCACCAAGTCACGAGACCTCGTCAACCTCCTCCTGGCCCTGGCCAAAGTGCCCGTCTTCAACCCCAGGAGAAGGATGCTGGACGAGGGAGGGGCTCTGCGACAGGGGGGCCTATTTCCACTTCTCCCCGGTCTCACGCACCCGGCAGCGTTCCTCTGGGCGGCGTCCCCTGGCTCCCTAGGCAGCTGTGAGGAGCAGTGGGCACTGCCTGGGGTTCTCGGCTCGCTGTCCCCCTCTGAATGAACCTGTGACCTTCACTCCTGACCCTGTTGTTCGTTAGTTGTCCCCCGCAGTGGTCCCTGTGGCGGGAAGGGCTTGGACACTGGTGCACTCCGTCTCCTGTTCTCGGCCTGTGACACACAAGAGTCCAGCCCCCCCGTGGGCTGAGGCTTTGGTCTCCTTTCGGTTGTTGGGCAGCGGCTCTCAACCTATTTACCATTGTGGGCTGCATCCCATCCTACCTCTCCGGCCCGGAGGACGTCCCATGGGCCGCTGATCAGGCCACAAGTGGCCCACGGGCCGCAGGGTGAGACCCACTGGATTAGGGTGTGGGTGCTGGGAGGTCAGCCTCCGTGGTCTGGTGGGGCTTCTGGCCTTCAGCTCTATGACTGGGAACCAAAGGGGGGGTAGAGTGGGAGAACCCCTGCAGCGCTGGGACCTGGCTGTAGGGGGTGCTCTGGCATGTTTCCCCCTTTATGGGCAGGAACAGCAAAGGGGGGCTGCTGCCCCCCCCCCGGAGCCCACCCCAGACAACCCACCCCAGGCCTGCGACGGATCCTCACCCCCTGCGGAGCTCAGCCCTGGAAAGGGGTGTCTGTGACCCCGCACGGCACTTGTGCACCTCTCCTCGTGTCACCGTCGTGATTCCACTTCATTCCGCCCCACGTGACCCGGCTCCCCCAACGCGGTGCGGGCGGCAAGGGGCTGCCACGCAGCACCGTGAAACACCACCCTCAGCACCGCACGGGCTGAGTCCCTCCTCACTCCTGCTTGCAGCCGCTTCAGAGACTTTAGGGCCGTAGGATCCCAGGGTCTGACCTCCTGTACCTTGCAGGCCACAGAGTTTCGGCTGCTTTCCCCTGTATTGAGCCTAGCTTGGGTTTGACTAAAGTATCTTCCCTCCAGCCAAGCAGTGGGGCTGGACCGACCCCCAGAGCCAGGCCTGTATTTCACTCACTTTGGATGCTGATCTCGGCCTGCCCCAAGGTTCTGGGGGACCCCTCCTGTCCATCGAGCACTCCTAGCCCTTCGCCCGCGTGACGCGTCCAGGAGCTGAGGGGACATTGTGCCAGGCACTGACACACGGGTCCTGGGCATATTCACACTGGGCGAGTGCTGCCCTTTGCATTGATTGTTTTGTTTCTCTGGCATCGTGCTTTAGCAATTGAGTCGTCTGTTACGTGCGTGTCTGTTCCCTCTCCTGGTAACACCCCCTGCGCTGACCCAGGCCTGGGGCCGGGGGCAGAGCCGTGGTGCTGCAGGGCTTCACAGGGTTAGGGTTAGCTGCTCTCTGCGTTCAGGGAAGGCATGGGGCAGCGCTGGGCAACCTTCACTCTGCATTGAATCGATTATAACCCTGGTTTCCTTCTCTTGGACCCGTGAGATGATTGAAGCTGTGAAGAATCTTTCAAACCCCCCCCCCCCCACTGCTGCCTGTCTCTTCGGCGTCTCGCTAGCCCAGGGCCGCGCTAGCCGAATGGCTTGCACCCTGTGCAAGGTGCCCCTAGCTCGGCACGGCTGCACTTCGCACCCGCTCTGCTCTGCTGGACAGGACTGTGCAGGGAGACGGGAGGTGGGGCCAGGCAGCCCCCCTCCCAGCCAGGGTAGCGACTTGTCCATCCCCACTTTGCCCCCTCTCGTTATCCCGCTCCCTGCAGCACCTTCTACAGGCTGGAGCAGGGGGACGACCTAGCCCCCCAGCAGGATTCATTCCAGGGCCCCTGCCTGCTCTGGGTCATGGGCTCCCCCAGCAGATCTCTCCAGAGCTTCCCTCTTTCTGAACCGGTTAAACATTAACGGCTCCCACAGAGCCTAGGGGAATTTCACACTGCCCCAGCGAGTTCAGACAGATTCGCCCCAGCGCGGAGATGCCTGGAATTCAAGAGATCTGGAGGCTCGCATCTGCCCGGGCATCTGTCCATGGAAGAGTTCGCACATGCGCACGCACTTGTTGCTGTGTGTCGGGCCTAGTGTGGGGGAGACCCTCGGTGGGCGGGCAAAGCTGGGTTGCCAGGGGAGTGAGAGCCCTGGATAAACAGGGACAGGGCTTGCGCTAGTGACAGAGGCCGCGTGGGACAGGACACTGCAAGGCAGCGATGGCACCCCAGCTGCAGCACAGAGCCAGGGAGCCACTCTCCCAACCCCTCCAGGACTCACGCATACCCACTAAGGGAGCACTCAAGGAAGACAAGGCTGTTGCAGAGAAGCTAAATACATTCTTTGCATCGGTCTTCACTGCAGAGGACGTGCGGGAGATTCCCGCACCTGAGCCGTTCTGTTTAGGTGACAAACCTGAGGAACTGTCCCAGACTGAGGTGTCAATAGAGGAGGTTTGGGAACAAATTGATACATTAAACAGTCATAAGTCACCAGGACCAGGTGACGGAACTCAGATATGAAATTGCAGCACTATTAACTGTGGGATGCAACCTATTGCTTAAATCAGCCTCTGGACCAGGTGAGGGGATAGCTGATGTGACGCGGATTTTTAAAAAGGGCTCCAGAGGCGGATCCTGGCAATTACAGGCCAGGAAGCCTAACTTCAGTACCAGGCAAATTAGTAGACACTATAGTAAAGAACAGAAGGCTCAGACACTCAGATGGACGCGATATGTTGGAGAAGAGTCAACACGGCTTTTGTAAAGGGAAATCACGCCTCACCACTCTATTAGAATTCTCTGAGGGCGTCAACAAACATGGACAAGGGGGATCCAGCTGCCTCCCACCTCCTGGAGTTGGTCCTTTGGCTCAAGCGTCTGAGGCCTGGGCGTGGATCTAAGGTCCGGTGCTCAAACCTGCTGCGAACCCGTGGACGAGATGGCATGTGGAGCGTGTGCAGGTTTTTTGGTGGCGGGTGCCTGCAAGGCTACCGGTGCCTGGGTATTTGTTTGCATTCACGTCTCTTTCAAGTGCAGCAGCGGGGACCTGCCGGGTCCCCGTCGGGCTGTGCAGTGCAGCTCGCTCAGCGCGTGTCCCTGGGCATAGCGGATTGGGGCTCAGTTCAGCATCCTCAGGGGAGAGTGGGGTGCAACTGGTTCCCTCTGACATTCAGGGCAGGGGGCCTCCCATGCTCACATAGAATCTTTTTTTATTTATTTTTAGAACTGGCAGGGACCCTGAAAGGTAATTGAGTCCAGCCCCCTGCCTTCACTAGCAGGACCAAGTACTGATTTTGCCCCAGATCCCTAAGTGGCCCCCTCAAGGATTGAGCTCACAACCCTGGGTTTAGCAGGCCAATGCTCAAACCACTGAGCTATCCCTCAGTGGTTTGAGCAGTGTGGGTGTCATGTCCCCCTCAAGAGCCTGGCCATATACAAGATAACAGCCTACTACTGCTGCCCACTAGTGGGGTTGCTCCTTTCAGAACATAAGAATGGCCGGACTGGGTCAGACCAATGGTCCAGCTCACCCAGGATCCTGTCTTCCAACAGCGGCCGGGTGCTTCAGAGGGAATGAACAGAACAGGACAATTAGCAAGTGATCCATCCCCTGTCGTCCACTCCCAGCGGCTGGCAGTCAGAGGCTTAGGGACACCCAGAACATGGGGGTGCGTCCCTGACCCTTGGCTAAAAGTCATTGATGGACCTGTCCTCCAGGAACTGATCTCATTATTTTTTGAACTCAGTGATACTTTTGGCCTTCACAACATCCCCTGGCGAGGAGTTCCACAGGTTGACTGTGCGTTGTGTGAAGAAATACTTCCTTCTGTTTGTTTAAACCTGCTGCCTGGTAATTTGATAGGGTGGCCCCTGGTTCTTGTTATGTGAAGGGGTAAATAACACCGGCCTGTTCCCTTTCTCCACATCATTCAAGATTTTAAAGACCTCTGTGATATCTCCCCTCAGTCGTCTCTTTTCCAAGCTGAACGGTCCCATTCTTTTCAATCTCTCCTCAGACAGAGGCTGTTCCATGCCCCCTAAGCATTTTTGCTGTATCTTTTTTGTGATGGGGTGACCAGACCTGCAGGCAGTATTCCAGGTGTGGGCGTCCCATGGATTTATATGGCGGCATGAAGGGATTTGCCATTGTATTATCTATCCCCGTCCGAGTGGTGCCTAGCCTTCTCCTAGCTGGTTTGATGGCTGCTGCACGTTGAGGGGCTGTTTTCAGAGAACTCTCCACGCGCCGGGAAATGGGAGCCCTGGGTTCTAATTCCATCTCTCCCACTGACCCACTGCATGACCTCGGGTGAGCCCTTTGTGCCTCGATTTCCCCACCCACCTCGGGCCTGCTCCTTGGTGCCGGGGGAGGAAGGAGCCAGCTGCTGGGGCATGGGGGGAACATGCGCATGCCCCCTGTCTCCCCTGCCTTGCTCCTCGCATGGTCTTTCCCTTCCCACGACAGTGGCAGATTCCTACCTGCCGCATGGGCCGATCCCAGCCCCTGCTCTCTCCACGCAGCCTGGGGGCGAGTCCTGAGGTTCTGGGGCTGTGGGGGCTCCCAGTGCAGCAGGCAGCTCTCGCCACGCATCGCCCCGTGTCTGAGCAGGGACACTCCCAGGCGCATTCCAGCGCACCAGCCCCACGCCCTCCCCAGCACCAGCCCTGTGGCGCAGCCTTATTAGGAAGCCAGGTGTTGGCTTGGGACGGGGGCAGGCCAGCCCCCCCAGGGAGACAGAGGGGGGACCCGATGGAGTGGGGCTGCATCTCAGCGGGCACTAGTGAGGGTAATGGGGTTCACCCCACCCCGGGCACCGTCCCTCGAGGGCTCCAGGCCTGTGGCTCTGCCAACAGCAAGGGGAGAGATGGGCTGAGATCTCCCTAGATTGGCAGAGGCCAAAAAGAGACCCTCTCCTCTCCCCCCAGGCTGGCCAGGGTCAAGTCCCCAGCAGACCTCAGCAAAGGGTTCATCCTCCAGCCCCGTCAGCCCCAACACAGCTCCCCCTCCCCCAGCAAAGAGCAGCCTCGCTGGCCTAGGTGTGGGGAGGGGGCAGAGAGCAGCTGATGGGGGGCATTACCCCCTGTTCCCCCCAGCTCCCATGGACCCCTCCAGGCCATTCACAACCAGGGGACAATCTACGGGAGCAGGGTGGAGGTGTCTCTTGCACCGACTGTTTTTAAATCAAGCCTGGATGTTTTTCTGCCCGGGAATCGTGCTGGGGCAGGTCTTGTGCCTGTGTCCTACCAACCAGCCTGGCTGGGCTCAGGGCTCCCTTCTGGCCTCTTGGGATCTCAGCTGGAGACAAAACTCATGAGATCTGTACTGGGTAGCCGGGGCCTTTCCAGACACATTTCCAGGGCTGGATAGAACCCAGGGGTCCTGGCTGCCAGCCCCCCAGCCACTGGACCCCGCTCCCCTCCCAGAGCCAGGGAGAGAACCCAGGAGTCCTGCCCCCCATCCTGTTCTAGAACCTGAAGAGCATCGTTAACAGAGTGTGGGGCCAGGGCCATGAACCTGCCAGAGCCCAGGGTGTGGGGGAGCCCCCAGGGGCTGGGAAATGTCCCCCTCCACCCATCTGCGGCTCTTGTCTCTGGGTCAGCCCCTGAGCCACCTTCATCTCCGGCAGTCACAGCAGAGACTGCACCTGGGGGGCGGGAGGGTGCCCTCTGGGGGGAGGGGAGGAGGCTGTGCTCTAGGGGGGCAGCAAGGGGGATTGAAGGGAGGGGGCAGGGGCTGTGCTCTGGGGGGTGGGGCAAGGGTAGCAGGGGGAGCTCTGCTCTGGGCTGGGGGAGATGTAGAGGGGGGCTGTGCTCTGGGCGGGGGGGCCGACAGGGGGCTGCGCTC